CGTGATTCTGCACACTTAAAATGCTCCCCGCTAGTAATGGGCAATGAATCCAACTACTTACCAAGTCGAACTGACTAATGATTTGACCAGCAAATCAATCAGCTGACTTGCCAATGTACTCGTTGATTTAATCGTTGAAGGGGCCGCAATGTTGCCGGCGTGAATAATCAGCAACAGTGCGGCCACCCAGGCAGGGCCGTGATGGTCACAAGTTCCTTCACTTTGTCACCAAAGTTGTGCGGAACAGCTTCCCAGGACGTAGGATTAATGTGGCCACAACTCCTCCTTTTTAACGACGTAAATGAAAAACATTATTTTTAGACAGAGTACAAATAGCTCCAGTGAAGTGAACGAAAAGTAGAAGCACAGAGTTTAGCCTTTCATTTTGGTTTATTTGTTTGTGCACAGTACTTACACACTGCCTCGTTCCCGAGCGAACGTCGTATTCCGCGTGCAACGACTTCCCTGCTGAGTAATGATCTCAAATGTCTCTTTGTTCTGGTGACTCAAAGCATACCACATGGGAGGCACGATGTAAAGTATACACCACGATGATGATGATGATGCTGATAATGATAGTTCACAAATTACGTGTAGCATACATACACTTTTCAACTTTTCCCTTGCCAAGAATGTATCCCTAAGGCCTAACATTGGTCCGATGGCTCAGGGGTTAGACATCTGAGCCTGCCATCACTGAGATCCTGGATTTAAATTGGAGTTTTAGCCACCTGCGATTTAACGCGAGCTTTCAAGTGAAGCGAAGTTATGGTCTCAGCGCGGTGACCAACGACTGCACAAAAGAACACTCGCATTCACTGAATATGGCGAGATACTTATTGTTATATATGGCTGTACGTTGAACTTATGTCACGCCTTCCATAGCCAACCGTGCTAATCGGAGGTACAGGGGGAAGGATAACTTATTGGATCATGACGAACATTCCTCTGTAAACGGGGCACATGGGAAAGATGGTTCCCTCTTCTGTAGATAAACGAGGCCACCTGCAATGGATTTGAGAAATAGTTCCGTGATATCTGCTTCCACCGTGGTCATTCCTCGACCCACGGGGTGATGTGCAGAAAGCAGCGCATCACCCCGTGTGTCAGGAAATGGCCACTTTGTCTCATGACATGACAGAAGTAATACAGATATAATACAATTGGGCAAAAGGCAAATGAAAAAGTTCTGCCCTTTAGAATATTGGTGGACCAGGTGTCTCTATTTTATACGTGCAGTTGTTAATGCAATGAACCCGGTGACCTGAGTTCAATTCCTGGCCACAGCTATCATTGATCAGTGGTTCGTGACATCTGGACTTTTTATTCTCCTCCCAAACCACCCCGGTCCCCGCCTCCACCAACTTGCACTGACCAGCATGGCAAAGTATTGTCACACAACTCCCATAACCGACACGACACAGAGAGAGAGGTCGTTATCTAATAGTTGATTGACCAAGGGCGAAACATGGTCCATATTTTGTGACCCAAAGCATCATCCCAGAGGGGATTGTCAAACATTCGGATCGTATGAGGGCAGCGGTTAATTTGCATCATTCTCTGCCGCAAATATAGCACGTGGCATTCTCACCCACGGCTGGGCGAAGTGATCCGAGCCCTGAGGCTCGTTTGCCTCGTCTCTCCTCCAGTGCATCTTCACCGAAGAAACGAGACGAACTCTAATGACTCCAGCGGCTCGCTCTGGCGGTCTTCCTCGGCACACCGCGAGGAATCCCGTGACGCTTGTCGTCATTGCCACGCGCGTCACGGCACGGTTATGCAACCGCGTCGCTTTCCGCGGTTGTGCTGTACCGGCCCCCCCCCCCCCCCCCCCGATGTGTTTTCTGGGTTTTTTCCGCATCTGTCGCCCATCGTGATGTCCGGACGTTTCTCTCCGCCTGTTGCTGAGAGCTTTCTGCTGGGAACTTAACCTCAGGAACTGAATGGAGGAAGCTCCCGGCGCGTGCAGAGAAACGTCGGACATCGTGCCGAACATGGCGGTTCAGTTTCCTGAAAAACCTCTCAGAACGTGCAGCGAAACGTCGGACGGCGTGCCGAACGTCACGTGGGACGACCCGAACACCCAGCGGAGAGCAACGCCACCTCGCGCGTGACGTCACGTGACGCGCTGGCGGCGTGCTCTGCCCGGCTTACGTCCTGCGAATAGCCGTGCACGGCCATTTCATTACTTGGTCTGCGGACGGCGCGCCTAATAATTGCAGCGGCTTTACATGAGGCATGCGTTTAATTGCAAAGCTGTAAGGAAAAAAATACAAAGGCGTGCTCAACGCACGCACGCTTCTAAGAATGCCGAATTACGTGGCTTGCAATTACAATGCACGCACGAGCGTGTTCACACCGTCACAACACTTTCTGCCCTGCGGCGTGGTGTGGCGTCGTGCTGCATTGCCGCACGAGCATGATCGATGTGGGGGCGCTGAGCGGCGCTGCGCGAGTCGCCAAGTCGCGCTTCACCACCTTGCGCTCCTGCGTTGTGTTTCTGTATCGTTGCCGGTATTCTCGTATTTGTACGTGTGCGTGTCTATTTGCGCCGTGCTATGAGCCAGGTGACCCGAATTCTTTATCAGAATCAGAATTTTCATTGAGACTGGAGGAATCCGATGGGATATGAAGCTTTTTTTCACAGATATCTAGTCGGATTTCATTAGCACTGCTAACATCAGTGGGCTTTACCTGGTAAGACACATTTTTTTATATTTTTAAAAAGCTCTTTGCTTACCTTTCCTATACTTTGCACGCTTGACGTGTTTTTGTACTGCTTGTTCTGTGTAACGTTGTGACCCTGTGCCCCTACTGGACATCTGTGAAAAAGAGCTTTGAAGCTCATCTGATTCCTCCTGCAGTATAAATACAGGTTCTGATCTTGGTTGTGGTCGTGGCGCGCGTCGCTGCCTTCCGTGCTCCTGGAGCTTGCGGGGAGCTCTCCCTTCACATTCGTCTGCTGCTCGGATATTTCACCCGGAGCAACGAGGGGAACGGCCCCCTCGTTTTTTGCGCTCGTGTTTATAAATCTATTTTGTAAAGGCTTCCGGCGCGTGGCTTGCGATGTTTAAGAGGGCAAAGGGGGCTTTAGGCGTCGCAGCCATTTTTGTCAATCCACTGCAGCGGAGGGGAAGGTGGGCACGTGAAGAGCTGCGGGTGCGTCTTTGGTCGGGGGCGACCTCACGCTCGGACAGGGGGGGGGGGTCCCAGGGGGGCGCAGGGCCTGGAAGTCGTGGACGTTAGTGGGGGCTGGGGTGCTGTTTAAAATCGTTGTCTAAAGAATGGATTCCCGTGTTCTTTGAAAATCTGCCTCCTTTCCTTTAAGCGTGTACGCCAGATGACCCTTCCGTGGATGTTTCGATGAGTGTCGTGCGCCATCGAGTGTGGAAACAACAGGGAGCGCAGTCGTGGCAAAAGAAGGCGGTTGTCACCGTAATATTTGGTAGTAACGGGGGGGGGGGGAGGGCAGCCTAATGCTGTGAGCCCCCTTGGGCCCCCTTGGCTAGTCGAAGCATGCCGACGCATGCCCCCCCCCCCCCCCCACACGGATAGTTTTCCCTCCTCGCTGCAGGATCGTTCCTCCACGCGCCCGTGCCTCGCAGCGCTCCGGGACACCCCGGTGTAAAAGGGCACCGTATCAAAAAGAAATCGTTATTATTATTATGCTGCTGCCGTATGTTGTCAATATTACCGTTCACTTAGGCCGTTTGACGAAAGGTGGCAGCAAAATGAATCGGCAGGAAGTAGCTTAACGACAACCGGCCGTGTGGATGCAGTGCTTAGTGTGCATGATCGTGATTATTAAGTTGGGAGTTCACATCCTGGTTGGGCCTTCCCTCCTTCCTTCATAACAATTCGTACATTTCACATTTGCGGCATTCTCCTAACGCTAAGTGATACCGAAGGTGTCGTGCTTCACGGGTAGGTGTAGTCTGCCGGTAGGGGTCGATGTTGAAATGTGGTTTTACCAAATTAGTACGATACTTTTAAAATTGGACTAATCTGGACGTGACGCCGGCACACGTGGCCTGTTTGTTGTAAAGACGTCACGGGATATGTCATGTCTGCGGTGTAAGGTATTGCGATGCCCTCTTTAGTGGGGGCGGTGTGCGATGGCTCGGTGAAGACGCCCGCGGTGTAGGGCAGGGCGGCAGCTGCTCGCGAACTGCGAACCTCTCAACGAGCGGCGAAGTCGCCATCTCCTGCCGTGGCTCCCAAACAAACAAAATGTTCCTTATGGTGTGGGCAGTCAGCAGTGTTCGTCCTGAGCACTATCTCACCCTTGCCAAAGGAATGTGGAATTTCCACCATTGACTGAGAGCTACAGTCGGACACACGTGCTTCATTGCTTGCTTGTACGAGCAAGAAACAGCTTTGAGTTGTTGAACCTACAATTTTATATTCTTATTTATTTATTTTGTGCTTTTAGTCAAAAAAGAGAGGGAAATTCAATAAGGCTCAATATATATAGACATCGCAACCGCACGATTCTCTCTGCCTCATTTCCCCAGCAGGTGTTACACAGTGACATGCACCTGCCGAGTTGCTGCATCTATTTACCCGATTGTCTCCGACAGTCAGGTAGACAATTGTGAGGCCATTGTGCACACCAGGCGATGTGAAATGGGGTGTTTGTCTGTCTGGGCGTTCGTGCGTGCGTGCGTGTGTGCGTGTGGGGAGCGGTAGTGTAGCGGTTAGCGCGCCGCGCTGTGAACCCGGCGACCCGAGTTCGATTCCCGCTCACGGCCAACACCGGTGATCATTATCTGAACCGGTCCTGGGCCTCCCCTAGGTCGACTCAGTCTCAAATGAGTACCTGGTGCGGTGCGTAAAAACATCGCCACTGGGGGAGACAAAGGCGTCTGGGCGTGGTGCTGGCCACCCACCCCCTCGTGTGCCGTGCCGGCCTTCATAGGTACTCGCCAACAACGCATGCCTCCAACCGTTTGTAAAGGCTACAAGGGGGATCTTTGTCTTGTGTGTGTGTACGCGTGCAGATGCAACAATCGGACGCAGTGCATCGTGGTGGCGGGCAGCGACGTGTTCCAGGACCCCTGCCCTGGCATCTACAAGTTCCTCGAAGTTCATTACGAATGCGTCCCCTACAGTAAGTGTCGCCACGTCCACTCCCGCTCCCTTCGTTCATAATCCACTACAGGCAGCTCCCATGGAAATGAAACTCTGCACCAACCACCTATGCGGTTCTATTGTTGTTACAACGAGAATGCCACGTGTGATGATTTTTTATTTATTAGCGGTATATCTTACCTAGCATGGAGAGTTTAGCATGTGACTGCCTCCCGTGTGTGTGCGCACGCGCGCACGTACGAGCAGGCAAGCCAGCGTGTGCACGGGCTCGTGCGTGTGTACGCGTGTGTGTGTGCCCGTCTGTGTGTGTATGTGTGTGTGTGTGTGCGCGTGTGTGCGCGCGCGTACGCGTGTGTGTGAGCGTGTGTGTGTGCACGCGCGCATGTGTGTGTGCGCGTGTGTGCGAGTATGTGTGTGCGCACGCGTGCGTGTGTGCGCGCGTATGTGTGTACGCGCGTGTGCATGTGTGAGCGTGTGTGCGCGTGTGTGTGTGTGCGCGTGCGTGTGTGCACGCGTGTGTGTGTGTGCATGTGTGCGTGTGTTCGCGCGTGTGTGTGCGTGCGCGTGCGTGTGCGTGCGCGTGCGTGTGCGTGCGTGTGTTCGCGCGTGTGTGTGTGCGTGTGTGCGCGCGTGTGTGTGTTCGCGCGCGTGTGCGTGCGTGTGTTCGCGCGCATGTGTGCACGCGTATGTGTGTACGCTCGTGTGCGTGTGTGAGCTTGTGTGTGTGTGCGCGTGCGTGTGTGCGCGTGTGTGTGTGTGCGCGCGTGTGTGTGTGCGCGTGCGTGTGTGTGCGTGTGTTCGCGCGTGTGTGTGTGCGTGCGCGTGCGTGTGCGTGTGTTCGCGCGTGTGTGTGTGCGTGTGTGCGCGCGTGTGTGTGTTCGCGCACGTGTGCGTGCGTGTGTTCGCGCGCATGTGTGCACGCGTCATGCCTCGAGAGCTGCATTATCTGAGTGGCGGTGCTGCTGGCTGCATTTCTATTTAAACGTCCGCATTTTGTCACACTATCAAAAGTTATGGCTCCCGCGCCGCCGGGCTGGGCTGGATGGGGCTGCCGGTGGGGTTCACCGTTAGTTCCGCAACGCTCGACAGTTACGCCCCACAAGGGGTCTGTGAGGCCCCAGGCCGCTAGGAATGCCTCGTGATTTGTGGCCTCTCGCGTGAGCCGTGTGGCCCGCTCTCTCGCAGGAGCGATTCGACTCCACCGCAGGTGATCTCCCCCGCGCCGGGCGCCGCTGCCATCGTTAGCGCTCTGCGCGCGCTGCGGCAGCGCGTTGCCCCAGCTGCTTTTGCGACGGGGCGGGAGAGATAATTCGGAGAGTCAACAGTTGGTTAGGACGGCAATGAAACTTGCTTGGAGGCGTGATTGTGTGCAATTAAACGGGAGAGAAAACAATTAGCGAATTTCATGCATAGAATGCCGGTGATTGCAATTACAATGTTTGGGTCGCTTGATTTCTCAAATTTATAGATAGGGAAATTATGAATGGTGGATAATATTAAATGGTAATATGTTTGTTAATAGTAAAACAAATATTCTAGATCACACAGGATTAACTTCACGATATATTCCTTTCATGACACAAACGCCTTGGACAATCCAGGTGCTGGCTCTGTCTCTCTCTCTCTCGGTGCTACGGAGATATCAGTTTGTGTCCACGTGTGTAGCGCAAAGAGAATGGTAAGATGCCGTGATGTGTCATCACCATCAATGTGTCCAGCAATTACCCAATTCGCTCCTGTGATTCGCACGGCTAATCTCTCCTCTTTTCTCCTTCTTCCTTAACATCTTCTCCCCCTGAAACCTGCCGCTAAAATGTAGGGCTGGAACAGAAAGGTAAAGGACGTTTACAAAATGCCATATAAATAAAAACAAAGCATCCTCCCCGTCCCATACCCATCCCATACCTGTCCCATACCCATCCCTATACCTGTCCCATTCTCATCCCCCACACCCCACTCCACAATCCCATTTCCCTTCTGTGGGTCGATGATGGTGTGCCCCACCGCCCCCCCGTGCGCCATGCAGACAGGCCCGATGTGCGTAGTGCAGTCGCAACTCATTTTGTGGGCTCCGTCCTGGTACACCGTGCCGTACTTTGACAGCGCCATTGCATGGTCGTAGCGCTCGCCCGCCCGCCTGTGCCTGTGCGCGTGCCTGCTTCGGTGCGTCTGTCCCTGTGCATGCGCTCGTGCCACGAACCCCACCCCAGATGTCGTCTTTGATCCCTGCATGAGCTTGCCCGTACGAGCACGGGTGCCTCCCCTGCGATTCGCTCGCCGTCAGTGTAAGCGCAACAGACATGCCGCTCTCCATGCAGTTGATGGGGGGTGGGGGGGGGGTAGCGTTGTTGTGCGCGGGGGCCAGGAGGAACCGCAGCCGGGGACAACGCCGCCGGGCGAAAGCCGCATCGCGCTGTGCCCGACACAACGATGGCACAGCGCGTGTTCTTAAAAATGCAATCCGGACATTTTGTCAATCCGCTGTTGGGTGGAGGTCTGCCCCACATGTGGCCCGTACGGGTTGTGTTTGACCGTAATTCACGCACGCTGGTCTGTGTGGATCGGTGAAGGGGATGAGAGTGCGGGGAGGAGGGGGGTCCAAGGACCGGATCAAGCATTGCTCACCGCCCGTATTAGTCGTGGCAGGGAATTAAACTCGGGTCACGATGTGCATCATGCGGTGCGCTGCTAACCGCTGCACCAACAGCTCTCCCCTCGTGCTTATATAACGGGTCCAAATAATCCAAGATCACTTGAGGAGTGTTGATGCAGAGATTGATAGGATACAAAAGGAAATAAACGTGGCTTTTTAGTCGGTGTCTGCAGCGGTTTCTGCTGGCCTCTGTCATGTGCTGGTAATGTCTTTGTGGTCCTGTTCAGTGCTCCTCAACCTTGAATTTGTATCGGAAGCACTCATACCACACTTTGCTCCGTGCATTCTTGTTATAAAGATGGCGAATGGTTTCTTTTTTGAATGTGAAATGTTGTTTGTCTGATAACATGTCTGTAAAAGTGCCTCCAATGAAATAATAACAACATGAAACCATACTTGTACTTTGGTTTCAAAGTACAAGTATGTCAACAATGCCGCAAAGGGAAACGTCGTCAAATATTAAAATCAGCGGATGTGCTCCTCTAAAGAGTAAAAAAAGGAACCCATCGTGAAGGAGCCAATCAGAGGCAGCGGAACTAAGAATGACGGAGGCACGTGGACGGGCACGATGCCACGGGATATACTGGGGCTTGTGCTGCGATGACACGTGTAGGATTGTTGGGTGGGACACGGGACATTTAGAGGGCTCACCCCCCTGCACTCTCCGACGAGTGAAACGTCTGCGGCTTTGAAACCATGCACACAACCACCGCTGTAGAGTATTGGTGCATTGGGTTCTGCATCTTCTTTAATATATATACAAGATTAAAAACATTTTCAAATGTATTAAAACAGCCTTATTAATGTTAATGAAAAGTAATTTATCGATAATAAAAAAGTTGTATTTCTTCGAGATATTTGTTAAACATATTCTTGTTAATGTTGAATAAATGCACTTTTAGATAAAGGTTAGGGTTATCATTCATCTCACGTAATTGTTGTACAATAATAATGTTGAATAATTTGCAGACCTTGGTTAGTTCACTGCCTGGTGAAAGCCTCCTTGCTCTGTGCAGCAATGGAGGCTTGCTTCTACCAAACTTCACCATGCTGGTCATTGGGGGCTTGTGAAGGGTAAGGAGAGCCATTGGGGGATGGGTGGGGGTGCAAGATCAATGCAGATACCACTCGCCACTGATGTTAGCCGTGGCAGGGGTTACAACTCGGGTCACCGGCTTCACCGCACACAGTGCGCTAACTATTGCACCACAACTCCACCATATGGCTTCTACTTGTCATGAATAACATGTTAATGAGTACATTATTTTCAAGATGAGGGTTATGGTTGTTGGTAATATCACACAGAATATTTCTACGATATGCAAGATCCAACAGCTACTGTGGTTCACACATTCCCATTTTAATAATTTGATATTGAGCTTAAACCCATTCCAAGCTTCAGAAGAGGCAAATCAACCGCCAGAGGCGGCTCCTCCTCCTGCGCCGCCGCGTTGAAATAAGTGATAACGGGAATTCCTGCCTGAAATCTGTTTCTGCTGCGTCAAATTCACAATGTATCGCTCGCAAAGGAGTGCTGTTTTGAGAACGGCAAGTCCAACCCTGCGGACTGCCAAACGCCTCTGCACCATCACCACCCCAATATGTCCGGTAGAAATGTAACGATGATGCATCGATTAATGGATTAAAGTCAATCCTAGCCATTTGTGCATAGATTATGGGTGACCGCCTTAGGCGGCACATGGATGGCATTCTAACGTTGCATTGAGGTTCATGGAACAATCATAACGTTTCATGTGGGAATGTATTTTGTTTATATGTAGATACAATACAAACAGTACGGTGCACAAGACGAACAGGAATCAATTCCCGATTTGACTCTGTGAGCCCCGAATCGTGACAGTATGGTACAAAGACAAAGATCCCCCGTATAGCCTGAACAGACTGTTGGGGCAAGTGCTGTCAGTGAGTACCACCTATGAAGTCTGGCACGACCTACAAGGGGATGGGTGGCCAGCACCACGTCCGGCTGCCTTCATCTCCCGCGTGGCGATGTGTACACACTGCACGAGGTAAACATTTTAGGCCGAATCGACCCAGGGGAGGCCCAGAACCGTTTCAAGTGATCGTCATTGGTATTGGCCGTGAGCGGGAACTGAACCCGGATCGTCAGGTTCGTAGCGCAGCGCGCTCACCACTACCGTTCCTCACACACGCACGGACACTCCGTGCAAAACGCATACAGGACAGACCCGCACAGTACAAACACATGCATGCCTCATGTTCAGCGTGACTGAATCTGCAGTCTCACCTTGAGAAGCCTTTCCTCTCGAGCGATATCCTCCTTGGCGAAGGCCACACCCGGTACAGGTGGCTTACATACCCCCCGTGTGACATCCACACATCTAACCGACAAATCTTTTTGTGTCATTCTAGGGCCCCGTGACTTAACACCGCGCTGCGTCATCCATCTTCTCAAACCTCCCCACTGTGGCCTCAATTCGTCTCTTCGGGCTTGAGTTGGAAGCTCCCTTTGAGGACATTCAATAGCTCATGTCGATGGGGTCACTTCTGACCACATGGCTATCAGCTACTGGCCCCTGCGGGATCAGGTTTTACTCCCTCAGAATTCCTTCTGTTTACGAATGATTTACTGCAAACAGCAAAATGTTACAATTGCTGTTTAGGTGGCAACGCAAGCCTCGGCAGCTCGATTCTGTTTTCAATCACATTCAACTCGTTCCCGACAAACCAATAGCTTGCAAACTTTCAGCAGCGGTACCGAATTTCTCATCAATCCTCCCTCGGGAAGCTGACAAACGTCGCTTTGAATAAGCGGTGGAAAAAATCGGGTATTTTTCATTTTGTCCAGGAGCAACTTGACGGCACTGCCGCCACTCGCTCGACTCGTTACGCTCACCGATCCCATCTCGTGCAACTTCCCTCGAAGGCGTCGGCCCCCGCACGGTGCGTGATACCAGAGGACGTGACGGGAGGGCCAGGTCCTGTAGACAATACCGGCAAAATCAGTCTCTCGCACGAGCAAGGCTATAGCGGCAAATCAGCGCCGCCGTCACCCGCGCTCCCGATCAGACGCTCGTACAACGAGGCAAAATTGCTCGTAAGTGCAGCAATCAGGGTGCAGAGAGCGGGGGGGGGGGGGAGGGTGGCGGTGGTGCACGCTCGTAGTGATTTAGTGAAAATGCGACACTTTGCAGAATTGTTGCCTTGAATGCGCGATGATGCCCCCACCCCCTCGTGCTGAAGGTGCGGCGAGCACCGCGCCGTTCACAGTAATTGCCGGGGCGTGCACGGCGCGTGCCAGGCACCTGTAGCGTGCACGGCGCGTGTAGATCGCCCACTGTGTGACTTTAGCGCAGTGGGGGGCAGTGTGGGAGCACGGTCGGTTACGTATGGTGCGAAAGAAGTTCAACGTACGTACAAAGCAACGGCTCTAATCAGATGAAAGTGATGCCAAGTTGTGGTAACACCGGTGATGGCATTGGCCATGATTTGAGTTCTTATAATATAATATTGCCATTACCAGGATGCTTAAACCCTGTAGGGCTTGATATTGTACGTCATCGCTTAACTGCACGAAGGTCAAATTACAGACGGCCTCAGAGAAGACAAAGAAGATTCGTGGTTCACAGCTCCGTGGAGCATCTTGGTAAAGCCAAGAATTACATTCGAGAGCTCAAATGACGAACAATGCTATCACCGGTGTTACCACAAGCTGTCATCGCTTTCGTCCCATTAGATCCTGAAAATAATTCTGAACGGGGAAGAATTGGATAAAGTTGCGACTCACAGCTCCGCTTGCAGGGGATTAACGTGCCGAGCGGCAATCTTTGTAAAGTTTAGCGGCGAGGGTTTGAGATTGTAGAGTGAATAATGTCTGGAGCGCCCTTCCTTCTGATAGTAGGAAGCCACTGGGGCTGTACATTGAAAACTCATTCCTTCGGCTGTTGTCCCTCCCCCGCACCTCCGATTCGCACGGTTGGCTACGTACGGTGCGAAAAAAGTTCAATGTACGTACAGGTCTAAAATCTAAAACTGGTATCTGAATTTAATCTTGAGCCACACGAAGAGTCGAATGTGGATGGGTGAACGCGACAATGAATCTCTGTCAAGAAGAGTGACGACAGAAGGAAACGAGGAGACGTTGGTCTGCTATTAGAGAGACGTTTGTATTTGCGAGGTAAAGTTAGTGGACGCTTCAG